TTTTTTTTTGTAATGTATTTTTTGTGAATATATAAAATGCAAAATGTTTAAAGAACCGCTCCGATAAACTATCCCAACAACGCACTGAACTTATCTGACACTCTGTCTGTAACCGAATAAACGTATCAGGCAGCAAATTTCTGAATCACTCTCGCATAATGACTGGCGGTGTGTATATGTACGTTTTAATATATACCAAACCAGCACAACACATGCGCATGACTGCTCTTGTACAATATAAAGTACAGTTCTGCTGCACAGTGGAACTGTAAATCGAAAGTAAATGTAAAATGTTCTAATATATATTTTCTTTATTAAGGCCGTGTGCGAGTTCGAGTAAATTGAGGTAAACCAAATTGATTTTTTGCACCGCACTTGTGTAAATATATAAAAGTTTTCAAATTGATTTATTCATTTTTTAATTTACCTCGAAGTTCTGGTAAATACCAAATTCGTTACCATAACGAAATAATTTACTATTACCCTTAATATACCATCAATTTACTCGAACTCGCACACGGCCTAAGTTATAACGTTATTATAAATAACATCTAACTTAAATTATAGAAGCTATAGCTACATGGCCTTAAGCTTACTGATTTGTAGAGAAAAGGAAAATATTGTAGTTGAGAAGCAATAGTTACATGGTGTTAAGCTCACTGATTAGTAAAAGAAAGGAAAATATTCTAGTTTGGAGCTAAGATAAAAGCATGCTTAAAGCTTGGGTGACTAGATTTTTTTTTTTTATATATAAAATTTGCGAAGAAAGTCCTGTACTATATATAAAAATAATTTCTATAATATACAAATTTATGTCGTTTTTGTTTAGTAAATCTATTACAACTTTTTCAATGGAGATTCATTTTTAGTGCAATTAGTAATAAAATGAATTAGGGACCTTTCAGGTACATGTAAAATAAAATAATATAATATAAAATTTATTAATATCATAATATATATAATATAAGAGATTATAATTGAGTATATATTGTTATTGGAATTAATGCTAGACATATATTTTAAACATGATGCAAAAATAATTTTCGTATAAAATATTTTGATAACAAATATATGGTTTTTTAAATAAATTATTAAAACTTTTAATTTGTAAAATAATTCCAACATGGACATTATGTTATGATGTTAATAGTTCAATGATTTAAATTAGTATAACATTTATATGAATACAGAAAAAATGCGATCATATACGATGATACATAAGAAAAACCTTCGAAAAACGACATTTTTACCTAATTACGTTGGACTTGTGTTTTGCACAAATGTATGTTCTATATCATACTACAACGTAAACCAGATCAATTGCAGATAATTATTGATGTATAGGTAAAATATAAACAATATAAGAAATCATCAATTATCATATGTAAAACATAAGTAATATAAGCAAATATTCTGCAAGCTGTTGTTTTACTGAATAACAAAAATATTATATGTAAAAGTTTATCGACAATACATTCAAAGCTTTCTTTAATCTCACCTTTTGCATTATTTTGCATAACCAGACAATAAATATTAACTTTAATTATTTTCAATTAACTCAAGTACTGCTTGATTTATTTGTATTATTTTCGAAAGGAAATTTCAAACAACTTTTTAATATATCTTGTTTTTTTTACACAAATTATTGTCATATACAATTTTTTATTGAGAAATAAATTACTTGGAATTTTTTCTTAATTTGCTTTACTGTAATACATAATAGTCACACAGAACTGCTGGGGTATAGCATTTTCTGCTCTAGTGACGTCACATTTCCATTAAACAAGAATTTTATAATATTTCAATACTTTAAGACTATAATAAATAATTATTTCGTTGTAAAGTTTGATATTATTAAATTGCAGATAAATTGTTAATATGATTTTAAACTAAAATCTTTGTAAATCTTCATTATTGTACAGTATTTGTGACGTAATTGCAACCAAGCGTCTCGGTAATGCCGGACCTTTCAAAATGCATAGTGTCAGAATGGCTTGCACGAAACTGTTTATTAGTGTTGTGTGAGGTGCGGCGTCACAAACGCACCAATACACCCAAATCATTAAGAGAAACATTGTTTTTTTTGCTTATAAATATATTATGTACACTATACAGAAAGCATTATGTTTTTACAAATGTTCTGTTGAGGGTTTGAGTAATGTGGTTTGACATGTTCTGCTAGAAGATATACGTGTGCACCAGATATGTAAAATAAGCAGAAAAAAATGCAAAAATATACAATCACACACATTTACTTATATTGATATGTAAACTGGAATGTGGTTGATGCAAAATTCCGCTTTATATTCTCTTACACACATAAAGACAATAAGAAATTTTATATATGCAAAAATAAAGCAGAAAACAAAACATTGAAAAAGTCTGTTATGTGGTATACTTCGATCGCAAATGGTGCTATTTTATTGATATTGTGTTACTGCTAACATATGTTTTCATAGTTTCGATTAATATATTAATAGCAATATAAATAAACTAATAGTTATGACAACCAGTGATTAACAAATCTTATTGCAATTTATATTAAAATAAGGAGACAAAAAAGAATAATATGTATATCAATATGTGTATCATTTACATGAGAAAAAAATATATTATTACAAATTTCATTTTTTTTCTATTTTTTTCTAAGTGTTCAAGAAATTAAAATTTCAAAACAACTTTCTTTCCGGCAGTTGAAACGCCACATAGAAAGCCACAGAGTGAGACTTTACCTTTTAGGAATCCAAAATGGATAAATTCCGACTATTGGATCATTAAGATCAAAAGCTTAAACCCCATTCTAGTGATCAAGGGAAAGACCGACATTAGAATATAGAAGCTTAAGTATTCAGACAACAAATATACATATTTAAACCGAATTTGTAAATAATGGATCAATATTAAATAGCAATATATGAAATAGATCTTCATATATGCCATTCTTTTTTAAATAAAGGCTATTAATTTCAACCATCTGACGGCTAATTAGGCTACAAGAATGTTTGTCTGTGGATATATGCTTTTCTTAAGTCGTTAATAATATATTAAAAAAA